ATAAGTGTTTGACTAAACAAGAAAAGGTATCACAAATATGCACTTGAGGAGCGTAACATAGCACTGATCACAGAGAGACCCCATAACCTTAACTGCAGAGGAGTTAGAGGTGATCGTCAGGCTGGGAGAATTCCCCTGAGAGTTGGTCATAAGACAGGTTTCTTTGGCAGTCAGCATGGATTTCAGCAATGACAGCCTAGGCGGTGTGTGCGTGTGTGTCACCTGCCTGAGCATATGCCTTGAGGTTCTCCAGTGATGTCACTCCTTTCTTCCTAGCAGAGTCATCAGGACAGTCTGCTCAGGGTCAACATCTGTTTACGAGCTGGTGAATACGTACCAAGAATATTCATTTAATTGGGCACGTGATTCTTGCCATGTTCCTGTGATTCTGATGCATCTGAAAGGCTTGCATATTTGAACACTGTCATTCATCATTTCCTACAGTTGTAATTCCTGATGGATGCTGTGGAATCTAGCTTCATTCTAGAAGTATTTTGGTTATTTTAAGATCGTCTGAGCAACCAAAGTAGGTTTTTGTTTGCTTGCTTGTCTCCAATGAAGTGAAAAATCCTTTGAATTTCATAGCTGGAAATTATTACTGCTACACAGAGGAGCACTATTCTAGGTATTGGGGGAAAGCAATGAACAGAACAGACAACACCTCTGCTGTCATGGAGTTTGCATTCTAGTGGAACAAGATGAAAAATAAATATGTAATGGTAGGTGCTCTTTAGAAAATAAAGCAGGATTGGTGAAGAGTGATGGTGGGATAGAATGCTAATTAGGTAAAGTGGTTGACATAGGGATAGGAAGGAACCCTTTGTGGCTGGAGCTGAATAAACAAGAGGGAGTGTGTTAGAAGATGAGATCAAAGAGATGTATAATAAAACTAGTGAGCTTTGAATTCCTTATGAGGAACTTTGGTTCTTCTTTAGAATGAGGAGAAGTCAGTGGAGGAATTTAAGTAAAGCTGTGACGTGGTATGGCTTTCCTTTTGAAGTGAGCAGGATAGCTTCTTTAAAGACAGACTATAAGGAGTTGAGAATGGAAGCCAGGGGAACAGTTAAGAAACTGTTGTGATAATCTGGGTGGAAGATGATGTAGGCCTAGACCAAGATAGTGTCTGTAGGGTTGGTGGGAAATAGTTGTATTGTAGATACATTTTGAAGGTAGAGCAACAGAATTGATGATAGATTGGATATGAAGTGTGAGGTACAAGTCAAAGTCAGGGTTTTTAGGAGGATGGAATTGCCATTTACTGAAATAGGGTGGAGGCAGCTTGAGGGGTGACAATCAAGGCTTGGTTTGGGCTATATTGAGTCTAAGATGCCCAAGAGACACATCCAAATGAAGACATGGTGTAAGTGAATAGGTCTATGAGTCTCAAATTCAAGAGAGAAGTATTTAAAGCTATTGAGCTGGATGAGATCAGCTAGAGAGTGAGTGAAAAAATTGAAAATACCTATTTTGCAAATAGAAGTAAACATTGGGGAGGGGCGCCTGGGTGGCTCAGTGGGTTAAAGCCTCTGCCTTCGGCTCAGGTCATGATCCCAGGGTCCTGGGATCGAGCCCCACATTGGGTTAGCCTGCTTCCTCCTCTCTCTCTCTGCCTGCCTCTCTGCCTACTTGTGATCTCAGTCTATCAAATAAATAAATAAAATCTTTAAAAAAAAAGGAATTAAACACTGGGGAATCAAGGTAGATGTTCACAATCGGACAGTCAGTGAATCAGTGGAGGAGTTTGAAATTGGACTGAAGACCACTGCTTCCTTTTACAGAACTGGTAATTGTATCCTAATCCAAGGCATGTGTATACCACCTTGCTGCTGGAAGACCTTAGTATAATTCTCAGGGGAAAGATCCTGTCAGTTACCCACTTATAAGCATGTAACCAGATGGTCTCAATATGGGGCAATATCTTTCTATCGTCTATCCTTACCTACTTTCTTGATGTCTTTTTCCAGTTCACCATTCTAACTGGCTTCCCTGATCTGCCCTGATGATATGCATCCTCTTCTTTACCTATGGGGTCATTATATGTAGCTTATTGAAGGCTCTAAAGATACCAAATGCCTCCCTTGAGGGGGTGGCTAGTTGAAAAGGTGAGTCAGAAGAAAAAAAATAGGGTAATGAAAGTATGCAATTACATATTAACAGACTCATAAAACATGCAGAATAAATTTCAAATGCTGGATAGGTCTGTAAACATGGATGCTGAGGGGTGGTTAGGACAGTGGGGGGCTGACACCAAACCAAATGAGGTTTATCAAGAAAGACTTCACAGAAAATGTGAATCTTATGCTTCAGAGAGAAGGGTACAATTTCCAAAGGATAAACTTCCCTTAATAGACAGAAACAAAGGGTAGGTTTGGGAGAGGGAATGGTAAGTAATCTAGATTAATGCTGGAAAGCCTTGATGCATACTTTCAGACATTCTAATCTGAAGATAACCCTGAAAGGGAGCTTCTAGAGAGGAGTAGAACATGATCAAAATGTGTAGTTTTAAGAGAACAACTCTCTTTGCCCTTAAAAGAAAATTGTATGAAGAGGTGCCTGGGTGGCTCAGTCCATTAATTGCCTGATTCCGTTTCAGCTCAAGTCATGGTCTCAGCATCCTGGGATCAGGTTCCATGCTCAGCAGGGAGTCTGCTTGTCTCCCTCTCTTTCTCTCTCTGCCTCTCCCCATGCTCACAGGCTCTCTTTCTTTCTCCCTAAAATAAATAGATCTTTTTAAAAAGTAAGTTGTATGAAACATGAGAAAATTATGGAAATGGAAACTGAGAAGTCAGTTCTCATTTATGAATATATGAAAATGACACAATATACACAGATCTTTAGCATTTTTAAAAATTAATATTCCATCTTAAAGAATCAAACCCACAAAGACTAGCTTCTTCAAACCACGGAAGCAAAGAGTAAATCTTAGTATCCATTATTATTAAATACTCTTGCAAAGCTCATGGCATCTCAGGGGAGGCACTTCACACACCTAAATTCTTAGCAATCACCACCCTGTGTCTCAGCAGTGACTAAGCTGACACTAGCCACAGTATTTGTTTCCTTGTGCCGAAAGAAGGAACTCTGAAGGCAAATACCTCCTTCTTCAGTGTAGAGCTACCCTCAGGAGGTGACACTAGAACCATCTATTCCAGAATCTTATTTTAATGGTTATTTATTTATTTTTATTACAGTGTAGTTAACATAGCATTAATTAGTTTCAGGTGTACAATATAGTGATTCAACAATTCCATATATTAGTGCTCATCAAGAAAAATCCGTTCTTGGGGCACCTGGGTGGCTCAGTGGGTTAAAGCCTCTGCCTTCAGCTCAGGTCATGATCCCAGGGTCCTCGGATGGACACCCACATTGGGCTCTCTGCTCAGCAGGGAGCCTGATTCCTCCTCTGATTGCCTCTCTGCCTACTTGTAATCTCTGTCTGTCAAATAAATAAATAAAATCTTTAAAAAAAAAAAAAGTCCACTCTTAATCCCCTTCACCTATTTCACCCATCTCCCCAATCACCCACCCTCTGGTAACCATCTGTTTGTTCTATATATGTTCTATATAGTAATATATAGTCTTTTTCTGGTTTGTCTCTTTTTTCCCTTTGTTCATTTGTTTCCTTAAGTTCCACATATGAGTGAAATCATAAGGTTTTAACAGTTTTTCTTTTTTTTTTTTTTTAAGATTTATTTATTTATTTATTTGACAGACAGAGATCACAAGTAGACAGAGAGGCAGGCAGAGAGAGGAGGAAGCAGGCTCCCCACTGAGCAGAGAGCCGGATGCCGGGCTCAATCCCAGGACCCTGGGATCATGATGTGGGCCGAAGGCAGAGGCTTTAACCCACTGAGCCACACAGGCGCCCCTTAACAGTTTTTCAATAAATGAAAGTCATTCACTTAAATCACAGATGCAGTATAATGTCAGAATAATAATATAGATTTATAGATTTAAGCCTAACAATTACTGTATTTAGGAGCTGTGTTCCCACCCCAGAAAAGCTTTAAAGCAAGAATGAGTAGTACTGGACCCAAAATGACAAAATCTTCTGGCTGATACTATTTGTCATCTTGAACTGTGGTGAGGACCCTGGATAATTTTTCTAAATGATCAGGTCTTGACCCTTCAAGCATCTGTGTTGTTAGGATCTCAGGTGTATTCTTCATCTAAAAGCCATTTCTAGGTTGCCTTCAAAATAGAGGCATTACCTCCTGGACTGCGCTCAGACCACAAACCTCACACTATCGTTTGGCACTGCAACGTGATCCTTCAGGACCTTCTGATAAAGAACTTGGCTGTTGACAATGATAAAGAAAAAAAAAATCCTTCTGCCATGTTCAAAATACTGGTTGGAGGTGGAAGTGGAAGTTTTCAATTAGGTGATAAGCCACTGTCATCTTTGAGGGGGGCCACAGCTTCTAAAACCGGCCGCCAAGTTTGTACCCAGTATAAAGTGATGAAATTCAGCAGAGAGAGCCATGTAGTAATTATCCTCGAAGAGCTGGGGATTTGTGCCCTGTTTCTGTGTCTGTCCTGCTATGGCGGGTAGTGGAAGCGACAGGAAAGTTGGGGGCAAAGGGACCAGGGTTTGGTCTTAGCCCAGGCCAGGTCCAGGAGCACAGCCACGCATGTTTTGGGTTTTCCTGCAATGGAGAGTGTGCTGTGACGGGTTGGATTTAAGTACGAACCACATTGCGGATTAACAGATGACACATAAACAGGTAAGCACTTTAAGTCAATTTTTATGGAAATCTTATTTTACACAAATGTTAACCCAGGAAATGGCCACGATTCTGGGCCCGTACACTTCCTAACCCCATTCAGCCTTTGGAAACTAACTCCCACCAGCAGAGCACCGCCCCCACTTGGCCCCACCCCTGCCAAGGCCCTGCGCCCTTCCTATTGGTTGTTTTTCCCGGCTCCGTGGTTGCCGTGGAGACCAAGGCTATGGCAACCAAGAGAAGCCAAACTTGGTCCTTCCTGTCCGACCGCGTAGGGGTCCCAGGCAAGCGGCCGGAATCCGCGCGGCGTTCATGGCGCTTTACGAGCTCTTCTCTCACCCGGTGGAGCGCGGTTACCGCGCGGGGCTCTGCTCCAAGGCCGCTCTGTTCCTGCTGCTGGCCGCCGCGCTCACGTACATCCCGCCACTGCTGGTGGCCTTCCGGAGCCACGGTGAGCCTGCTCGCGGCCGTGGCGCGCTCAGGTAGCTCCCCAAGGCCTGCTGCGCCCGCGCCCGCCTCCATGACCTCCTCCCCACCGCCCTCTCTACCTCAGGGTTTTGGCTGAAGCGGAGCAGTTACGAGGAGCAGCCGACCGTGCGCTTCCAGCACCAGGTGCTGCTCGTGGCCTTACTGGGACCGGAGCGCGGCGGGTTCCTGGCCTGGAGCACGTTCCCCGCCTTCAACCGGCTGCAGGGGGATCACCTGCGCGTCCCGCTGGTTTCGGTGCGTGGTTCCTGTCCGGGCCTGGAGGCCCACCGGGACTGGGCGGGGGTGGCCGGGGATGGCGGGGAGAAGATGAACGGCCCCGGCCAAGGGAAGCCCAGGTTGGGTCTTAAGGGGTTGTGAACCCACGGAGGTTGTGTACACAGGCGCGTTGGCCTGAGCATACGTTTAATTTCCCGGGAAGTGACTCTCTTGTTTCATTCGACTTCTCCAAGCAGTCCACAGCGCTAAGAATGTTAGCCACTGCCGTGAGCATGTGTCCTACGGAAGCTGGGGGAGAGCCTGTCTCTGGCCCCCCGCCATTTCCGTGGGCCTGGCCTGATGGGTGGCTGGTCGCGAAAGTTTCTTTGAGTCACGAAGGCTGAGCGCTGTGCTTAGGAATTAACCTAACGTGTGGCCGCAGTTGTGCCTCGCAGCGGGGAGGGGACCACGAGTAAGGTAAGGGCACGCATTTTTATGCAGACCTGACACGTGGAAGCCGGGCTGATTGGTTAAGCGACCTACCCAGAATGTGCTGGGGGTCCCCGTCCCGCCTCCCTGGCTTGTAGGACTAGATGCGGCCCCAGCTTGCAGTTGTCCAGGATGAAAAGGAAGCATTTTCCTGTCTTTAATTTAGTATTTGGTTCAGGATGAGTGAGTGCTAACTTGACAATCATTCCCTTTCTGCTCATTTTCTGAAAACATTTTCCCTTAGAAATAGGAAAATTATATTTTTTCTTCTTCCAAAGTTGAATCTCTTTATACATCTCAGAGATGATTGGCCTACAAGGCAACTTGTGTAGCTGAAAAAAAAAAAAAATTCAGACTTTCTTCCAGCAGCCAAATAAAATGAAAACAAAACAAAACAAAACAAAACAAAAAACAAAAAAACTCTTTACATCTGATTGATCATATGAATAACTACAAACAAAATATAATTCATATTTTTTCTGATTATAAAAATGCATTCCCATTGTAAAATATTAAAGAGTTATAGGTATACATCATGATGTAAAATTAAAGGCTGACTTTGGAACATGTACATTTGTTAGTCAAACTTATTCTTTTTAAGATCTGCATAAAATTTTTATGATAGGGAAAACCTATTGGATTTAACCAGTTCTCCGTTGGTGGATATTTGATGGACTTCTACTTTTTCACTATTTAGGATACTGCAGTGAACAAGATTTTTAATCAATCTTACACCTTTAAACAGCCAGTGGTGAGAAATTGGAATGCAAGCTGTTTTTTGAAATTGTACCCGTAAATAGAAAACTAAGCAAGCAAATAATTGTTAAATTCAGAGAAATAAAAAGTAAGGAAAAGGGAGAAAGGAATAGGATTCACATAGTCATAAGTAAACGAACACTGAATATTGGTTGACTAAGCAAAATGAGAGTTTAACTCAGTGGGGGGTGGTGGAGGGAAGAAAATGAAAACTTCATCTTTTCACATGGGAAGTCAATAGAGGATGCCTGAACCTGAGAAATCCAGAATTGCAAGTGCACAGGTTATTTAAAGACATGGAGGGAGTGCCTGGGTGACTTAGTGTGTTAAGCTTCTGCCTTCAGCTCAGGTCATGATCCCAGGGTCCTGGGATCCAACCCTGCACAGGGCTCCCAGCTCAGTGGGGAGTCTGCTTCTCCCTCTCCTCTCCTCTCCCCGTCCCTTCCCCTCTCCCTCTGTGTGTTCTCTTTCTCTCTAGCTTTCACTCTCTCCCAACTAAATAAATAAAATCTTAAAAAAAAAAAAATAAAGACATGGAGATAGATTTCTGAATAATCAGGCAAATGAGATAAAAATATTTGCCATGGGGCTGGAAGTCTGCTGCTTTTGATTCTTAAATGATCGGGTCTTTCAAATGGATTTTAAGAAGTAGAATTGGAGGACGGACACATTTCTGTCAATAACTCCTCACTAATATGACATGTTGCCCAATTTATTCTTTTTTTTTTTTAAGATTTTATTTATTTGACAGAACACAAGCAGGGGGAGAGATAAGCAGAGGGAGCAGCAGGCTTCCAACTGAGTGGGGAACCCCATAAGGGGCTCTGTCCCAGGACCCTGGGATCATGACCAGAGCTGAAGGCAGACGCTTAACCAACTGAGCCACCTAGGTGCCCCAGCCCATTTTTATGCTTTTCTGAGATGATAATGAATGCGGGGAAGGGTGACTGTGGATGAGAGGCCTTGTCAAGGGATGCTTACTTTTCCCGGTAAATCCACTGTATTTCTGGTGCTCTACATGCATGTGTTTCCTTTCTAAAAGTGAAAGCAAAATGTTTCTTTTTATTCCAAACAAACAGAAATATTAACTATTTAGTTTTACTTTTTTTTTTTTTTTTTTTTTTTTTAGAGAGAAAGAGTAGGAATAGGGGAGTGCGGTGTGCAGAGTAGAGGGACTCATAAGCAGGCTCTGTGGGACGCCTGGGTGGCTCAGTTGGTTGGACGACTGCCTTCTGCTCAGGTCATGATCCTGGAGTCCCGGGATCGAGTCCCGCATCGGGCTCCCAGCTCCACGGGGAGTCTGCTTCTCTCTCTGATCTTCTCCTTGCTCATGCTTTCTCTCACTGTCTCTCTCTCAAATAAATAAATAAAATCTTTAAAAAAAAAAAATAAGCAGGCTCTGTGCTGGAAGAGTTAGTGCTGTTCCCATAACTCTGAGATAATGACCTGAGTGGAAATCAAGAGTCCGACACTCAACCAACTCCTGGGCCCTCCGGGAACCCCTTGTTAGTCTTACTTTAGGTTAACATTACCAGTTTTTCGTAGAAGTTTTTTTGTTTTCCTTACATTTGTGTATTCCTCTCCATCATACTCTCTGGTTACTTAAGTGTAAGAAATAATTGTGAAAAGTTAATCACGAAGCATTAGGTTTCATTCATTTTTTTCTTTTCATGTGTTCGTCCAGCACAGCAGATAGACTCTCCAGTTGGATGGCTGGTTAGATAGGCTGTTACCTCGGTGACCTTGAAAGCACCGCCTTTGTTCCCCCTGTTTCGTGTGTGTGTGTGTGTGTGTGTGTGTGTGTGTGTGAGAGAGAGAGAGAGAGAGAGAGAGAGAGAATTTTTGATCCATGAAAGCAAGACTGCCTCTATTCTTATGGTGCCCAGAATTATTAATCCTTTATAATACTGGGTAATTTTACACTCTAAAATGCAGAACCAAAGTTCCTTTTTCCTAGTCTTTTTCCCCCTCCATTCTAGGGCACTGTCTATGTAAGTTTTTTTTTTTTTTTAAGATTTTTATTTATTTATTTGACAAACAGATCACAAGCAGGCAGAGAGGCAGGCAGAGAGAGAGGGAGAAAAGGCTCCCTGCTGAGCAGAGAGCCTGATGTGGGGCTTGATCCCAGGAACCTGAGATCATGACCTGAGCCTAAGGCAGAAGCTTAACCCACTGAGCCACCCAGGTGCCCTACAAGTATTTTTTTTTTTTTTTTAAGATTTTATTTATTATTTGACAGCGGCACAGCAAGAGAGGGAACACAGGCGGGGGGTTGGGAGAGGGAGACGCAGGTTTCCCTCTGAGCAGGGAGCCTGATGCAGGGCTGGGTCACAGGACCCTGGGATCATGACCTGAACTGAAGGCAGACACGTAACAACTGAGCCACCCAGGTACCCTGTCTATAAGTATTTTTTAGTAAATGATTTGCTTTCTTCCTAGCTGAGCTCTTGGGTTTGAGAATAGTTTGAAATCATGAGATACAAGTAAATGAGCTAGAAGATATAGTAGAAGTACAGATCTCAACAGCAGCCCCAAAATATAAACTCGTTAGGAATAGGCTTAACATGAAATGTATACTTTAAAAAAAATTTTTTTTTTTTTAAATGTGCGTTCCTCGGGGGCTCAGTCAGTTAAGCATCCACCTCTTGATCTCAGCTCAGGTCTTGATCTCAGGGTTGTGAGTTCAAGCCCAGCATTGGGCTCCATGCTGGGTAAGGAGCCTACTTTAAGTAAGTAAGTAAGTAAGTAAATAAATAAATAAATAAATAAATTTTAAATAAATAAATATAAGAAATGTGCAAGAACTATGTGAGTAAAACTTTAAATAGACTGATGACTGACACAAAGGAGATTAAAAAAATGGTAATATCTGTCATTTTTTTTTTTAAAGATTTTATTTATTTATTTGACAGACAGAGATCACAAGTAGACAGAGAGGCAGGCAGAGAGAGAGAGGGAAGCAGGCTCCCTGCCGAGCAGAGAGCCCGATGCGGGACTCGATCCCAGGACCCTGAGATCATGACCTGAGCCAAAGGCAGAGGCTTAACCCACTGAGCCACCCAGGCACCCAATCTGTCATATTTTTAGACCGGAAAATTCAACATCATAAAGATGCCTCTTCTCCCTTGGTTGATCTATAATTGTAATGCATTCTCAGTGAAAACATGACAGTATGCAGGGACAGACCGCCATATGGAAAAAGAAAGAAAAATTCTAGGAAAAAAGAGGAGGTAAGAGGAGACTAGCTCTCTAAGATATCAAATTATACCTTAAAGCCATAATATATAAAGCAGTGTGACTTGGGGGACTTGTATAAAAAGTATAGAAAAGGACTCAAAGATGATGAAGGTGGCATTTTAAATCAGTGGTGAAAGATGACTTATATAATAAAATGATGTAGGGGAGACTGGGAAGCCATCTGGAAAAACTTAAGATGGAGCCAGTGCTCATATTGTATACCAGAATTAATGTCCAGATAGGTCAAGATTCAATTTAAAATATGGAATGGGGCACTTGGGTGGCTCAGTCAGTTAAGCATCTGATTTTGGCCCAAGTCATGATCTGAGGATGGTGGGATCCAGCCCTGCATCAGGCTCCCTGCTCAGAGGGGAGTCTGCTTCTTGCTCTGTCCCTCTCTCTATCTCTCTCATTCAAATAAATAAATAAAATCTTTAAAAAAATTATTGGCATGGTAAAACCATAAGCATAATCAAAGCACAAATAGAACTAGAAAAAAAGGTTTATCATTTGTATCACTTGTAAAAAGCTCATTTTCCTAACATAAAGTGCCTGTA